GAGCTGCCCCCCTTGCAGCCGGGGCGCAGCGGCAGAGGGCACTGCCGGGCTCTGGACTGTGTCTTAAAGGTCACGCGGCTGTGGGGCGGCTGCTGCTGTCCCTGAGCCAGGTGCCCCTCTCCCTGTCAGGGCACACGGCCGGTCCCTGTTAGACACTGGGGGGAGTTTTGCTGGAGTAATCAGAGACAAGAAGTTGTTATTTTGCAAAGAGGCTGACCCTTTGCTGGGAATTCACTGTAATTCCCACCGTTTGAGGCTTTCCAGGGCTGGATACATCCATTGTGGCACCTGGGCAGGTCCTGTGCCGCCTGCCCGAGATCTGGTAACCAAACCCTGCCCTGGAGGGAGCCCAGCGTGAGGAGAGGCAGAGGTCTGCCCTAGCCCAGGGGGAAGGCGTTTTGGGGATGGCAGTGGCAGGAAGCTCAGGGTGGGACCTGTGTGCCAGCAGGGATGGCTAGCAGGAGCCAGGACCGGAGCCTGCGAGAGGAGCTGACATGTGCCATCTGCTGCGAGCTCTTCAGCGAGCCTGTCATGCTGGACTGCATGCACCACTTCTGCAAGGCCTGCATCCAGGGCTACTGGGCGAGCTCTGCTCGTGTCCCCTCCTGCCCCCAGTGCCGCCGTGAGTTCCCCAGCCGAGCTTTCCGCACCCACTACCTGGTGTCAGGGGTGGTGGAGAAGGTGCGGCGCTGTGGTTCTGTGGAGCACCAGCACAAGATGCAGGTGAGTGGCTTGTGCCTGGCTTGGGGAGAACAGGACGGGCACTGCATGAGCCCTGTGAGCCCACCACCCCTTTCTCTCGCAGTCGGTTCCCCTGCTGAGGAGCCCTGTGTGTGCCTCACCTGACCTGAGTGCAATGACATCTGTGTCTCTTCCTCATTCCTCTCCATGTTTCCTTCCAGCTGTCTGTTTTTTGGATGCTTTCTTCTTTTGCGTTTTTCCCTTCTGCAAACTGATACCCGTGGCTGGAGCTCCCAGTTTTAAAAATAAATTTGTTTTATTATGTGCATGTGTATATAGTTCTCAAGCCTGTGCATCAGGTGCTTTCTTCTCCTTACCGCCTTTACAATAAATCCTGTTGCAGCCTCCTTCCAATGCTGGCCTCAGGAATTGGGATTGCTCCTGAATCATAGCAGAGTAGTGAAATGGTCTCCTCATCTTCTTTTCCTTGTTTCTGCAGAAGCACCTGGAAGATGCTTTGCAAGGTCGTCGGAAGGAGATGGAGAACTTTTTGCATCGGAAGCGTGCGATGCAGGAAAATATCTGCAGCCTGACGGTAATGTCCTGTGATAGCTGCTTTTTGTACAGCCTCTGGATTAATGTTCATAGAGGATCTGTGTATCACCTCAGCTGAGATTTAGCTCGGCTTCCTGTAAAAATCTAGATGAATAACTCTGTAGGAATCTGAACAAACTCCCCCACACATAGGCCAAAGTCCATCACTGAATATTTGGTGGAGGCTTTGGGAAGAGGCATTAAGCACTCATTAATGCAGCATTTACAAGGTGTGTTAGTGCAGCAGAGCTGAGACAGGGTGAGTGGTGAGAGCTGTTGGCTGAGCAGCCTGTTCTGGCTCTGCACTGCTGCCACTTTGGGAGAGGGTTAATTCTTGGAAGCTCTGAAATCCTCTTGTGTGTCTGAAGGGGTGACAGCAAAGCTGAAGGAGCTGGGTCAGCAGCAATGTTGGCACTGCAGAGAGCAGTGGCTGTGTCACAAGGACCGTGTTTGGATTCACTGCAAAGCTCTGTGATGATGTGAAGAGGCTGAGTGTTCTCTCCAGGCTGCCTTCTTGTCACTGATCATTGAACTGAAAACAGCCACAGGCTGATTCTTGAGTAATGTAAAAGTATTAAAAGCCAAGCAAGGAGAGTTTAAGGACAACACAGTAGTTCAGAGGTGAGATAAAACCGATGGGAACCTGCTTTCTGACTGGAGTCTCTGATCCTTTCCTGCCACCACTGTGTTTCATACCTCTGTCCCACTACCAGATTTGGAATAGACCTTTGAGGGTAATGAAAAAGTCATAGCAAATACACTTGATGTCCTGTTGCAGGGGAAGAGCTGACTAGGAAGTGCTTCAAGAGTCAAGGAGCAAATTGCTGATCTGAACAGGGAGACCATGCAAGTCCTCTTTGGTTCTGGTGTGTCAGCACAAGCACCTGCTAGAGCAAAGGGAAGCTGGGGTGCTGTGCCAGCTGGTGAAACTTCGGATGTACTTGGGGAGATGGGTTTTCTGCTGGTCAAGGGAGATGTGTGTTTCAATAAGCACTCCTCAAGGAACTAATGAGGGCTAAGGTTGCACTAAGAGATTAAAAGCTTAAAGATTGGGAAAATAAAGTCATTGGTTGTCTCTTGTAAACAGGCAGGAAGGCAGTGAGAGCACCACAAGGTTGGCTGACCGACTAAACAACTGGAGAAGGAAAAAAAAAAAAAAAATCTAAAGATAGCTGAATGGGATTTTATCAGCTTTAACTACAGAGTTTAGTTTTTGCAGCTTCCCTGTCTCTCCCATACAAACAGGAGCCCTGAGAGATGGAGGCATCAGAGAAAAAGAGCAAGTTAGCAGTGTCAGGCAGCTCTGCCTGGGATCTGGCATGATTTGAAATAAATCTGAACTAACCTAAACAGCTGAGTCTGCAGCTCCAGAAAAGCACAAGAGCTCCAGTCTTGCACACAAGCAAATTCCTGGTGGTGTGGAAGAGGGCTGTGGGCTCCTGCTGTGGTTGTGTGCAAGGATTTCTAGTAAGGTGACTGAGCCATTGGTAGAGCTGCTTCCCCCCCCACCTCCTTTGGTTCACAGCCTTGCAAATTGTCCTCCTGCCCTGTTCTCCATCCAAAAAGTTGTGGGTATGTCCGACACTCTAATTTCCACAGCTCTGTAAGTGCAGTAACAGGCCCAGCCGTGCTGTGCGCCTACTTGTGTGTTTCAGCTGCCGGACTCATCTTCTGCCTTTTCCCTCTGCTCAGAAGGTGTCTGGGGAGCTGAACTTCAAGATCCGGGCAGAGTTTGCCCGCCTTCATCAGATCCTGGAGGAAGAGGAGAGAGCTGTACTGGCAGAGCTGGGTGAAAAGGAAGAGCAGTCGCTGGCACGGCTGCACCGGGACGTCCGCTGGCTGGAGGAGGGGATGTCAGTGCTGCAGAGGGACATAGAGCGCATAGAGCAGACCCTGAGCAAGATAGATGAAGTATCATTGCTGGAGGTGAGCATGCTTGGCTGACCCTGTTAGGAGGCTGAGGGATGTTTCAGGATCTGAATTTGAGATGGAGAGTCCTAAATGACAGCACTGGGCTGTACCTGCAAGTCATTCTTGCCACCATCCCTCCGGATTATCTACACAATCCCTTGAAGTCTGGAGGCTTTAGCCACAAGGGATATGGTGATCTCTCAGGCGTGGTGCATCTCGGGAGCCTTACTCCTCCTCTGTCACCCCTGTGAAATTGCCTTGGCCACAGTGCCTGGGTGGTTTCCCGCAGGGTGGGGGTCCTGGCAGGTTGGTTTCCTCTCTCTGTGCTTTGTGACAGCAGGAGGCAGGACAGGGAGCTTATTTGTGCAGCTGCATGAATTACAGACAGTGACTGCTAATTCTCTCTGCTCCTCACTGCAGGTGGAGAGCCTGGATATCAGGTACGTGTCTGGCATGAAAGAAGCTGATTCCTTTTTCAGGAGCTTATCTCTGTCCCTGGCTGGGACCACACAGGGGAGGGATCTTATCTCAAGTTTTAAAAGCATCACAAATTGCTCAGCGAGCTGCTGGTGCTGTGCTAGGTGGGGGCTGGTCCTCCACACGTTGGATGCTCTCCCCAGGGAACATGCATGTTGAGATGGCTGGGCTGGAAGAGCAGGTTGGAGGAGACATGCTGGTTTGGAATGGGTGCGAGAGCCATGCATGCTGCATGTGAGAGCAAAGCTGATGCCGTAGACCTCAGATACTTTGGCTTCTCCCTGCCTTTCCTTAGCTTCTTCAAACTGACAGGGCTGCAAAACTGACCCTGAGGGGCAGGTTAGTCTGAGGCTGTGAGTAGCTGAGGGTCACAACTGCCATAGGGGAGTGTGTCCCTGTTGCCTCTCTCCCTGGGGCTGCAGTGGGATGCAGCCCGGCTCTGCAGGCATGGCCTCTTCACCCGTACAGGAGTCCTGCTTGGGTGTGCTGGGTGCTGCTGTGCTGTGAGCCACCACCCCACAGGCAGTGCTGCTGGATCTGTCTCTGTCCACAGCGCCTCTGCCCTAAGCCACTTGCTGCGCTGGGGGTAGCGGCGCATTGGGGCGAGCAAGCAGCCACCAGAGAGGATTGTGTCCTGGTTTTACTGAATCCCTTGCATGTGGAGGGGTTGACTGCTGCTCTCTCTGCCCCAGGCCCTCGGTGTGCGTTGAGACCCAGCCTGCCTTTGACCTGCAGCACTACAGGGACAGCCGCAGCGGCCCCTTGCAGTACATCTTCTGGAGGCAGATGCTGCAGTCCATCTGCCCCGGTGAGCGGATCGGTGTGAGGGCTGGGTGATGGTGGGGCCGGGGATGCTCTGTGGAGTGAATACAAAACCAGTAAAATGCCATGGTCAATATCTCCACAGCTCCTGCCCCACTTACTTTCGACCCTGAGTCAGCCCACCCCAACCTGGTCTTCTCCAAAGACCTGACAGCAGTGACAGAGAGGAATCGAGCCCAGCCCGTCCCCAGTAGTCCCCGGCGCTTCCGTCAGTGCGTCAACGTCCTGGGCTCACAGACCTTCAACAGCGGCCAGCACTACTGGGAGGTCTGGGTGGGCAGGAAAACCAAGTGGGACCTGGGGGTG